AGAGCTCGGCTACCCTGCTTCACGGAATCTCGGTAACTTTATGCGTTACCGTGACACGAGATCGGGTAATTACAAAAAGTCCGGTCCCGGGACTACGCGTAGGATCGGCTTTCTAATCGACCTTGCCGCTTTTGGCAGACACAGAATTCTCAGAGGCAGAGTCTAAAAGGAGACCCGTCTAGTCGTAAATCCAGCGTCACGATTAAGAATTAAAGGAACCGTTCTTCCAGCTGCCGCGAAACACTTGGAAATAGGATGGCCAAATGTCAGGACAGGCTCGCGTGCAGACACGTGGTATTCGCATTGTTGTTCTCGTAGTCGTTGGACGTGGCGATGTTGGCGTGTAAGAGGAGGAAAATGGAGGAAGAAAAAGGAAGCGGGAGGGGAGGAAAGAGTACAACGACAGCGACAGTGACGACGGTGGTGGCAGTTTTCGCGAAATTACTGGGTTCAACGGCGTACGCTTAACGGGTGCCAGTACGGGTTAAAGGGTGAGGGGTGCAAGGTGGTATTGGTTGATAGGGGAACGAAGGGAGGGTAGGTACGCGGTCGTATGTATATGCACGCGGAGGCACTGGTAACACAGCGCAGGTGGCGCGACGGGGCGAGTCGCGCTAACTTCGCTCTGCAAACATGGCAGTCGTCACGCAAGTCGCAAAACCCGCCAACGATATCGCGGCTTCCGAACTCGCCGACAAATACTAGGAAAACGGGTATTCGAAAGCCATTACACGCAATAGCCAACCCGCTGTGGACTGTCACGTCGTTGTTCCCTAACCTCGTGTAAAACCTCAGCGGGGCAGAGGGTCCAAGGTGCTCCCCTGTCGATGGTCTAAGCTTTCCGCGATGCACCATCGTACGTGAAAGTTTTTCTCTTTATCCGACGACGTGGTCCGATCGTAAAAGCGATTTTAACCCCTTGCCTTACCGTTTAAGTTCCGATGCGTCCCATAGTCAATAGCAATCTCGTCCGAACGCGTCGAAGAATAACACCTAACTGAGACAGAAGCACAACGAACCTGCCTCGTGATGTTTACGTTTGGGTAAAATCTCTCGATTTCTTTACCACGAGTCTCGTATAGTATTATAAGCGAAGGAATTAAATGCTCCCAATATCATACCATCCAACAATCCGAAACTCAGCCAAAAACATACCCCAACCGACACGTACAGTTATTTATTTCTATCACGCAACTTCCATGATTACCATTATCCAAGTAGACTACATTTAAATACTTCCAATATCAAAAAATCCGACATAACGATCCAAACCGACGCGTACACCTATTTAGTTCCATTGCACAACTTCCATAATCGCTATTATCTAAGTACACTGTACTCAAGCCCTTGCCTTACCATTTAAGTTCCGATGGTGCGTGCCATAGTGAACAGCAAGGTCGGTCACACGTCCAGCAATCTCGTCCGAACGGGTCGAAGAATAACACGTAACTGAGGCAGGATGACCTCGACGAAAATTCACGAGCCTAACCTGTGATATATACATTTCCCTCTATGTATCTACGCACCACGAGTCTCGCCCGTTATGCTCAAGTTTGACCTGATAATCTTACCACGAGTCTCACACGATATCGCAGGCGAAGGGGTTAACGACAGACCAGTCGACGAGAATGATCAGCACCGGATCTCTGCGAGAACCTAGCGTTGCAACGTCAGAGAAAACAGAGGCGTAGCCAACCAGAAGGCCCGGTGTTGGCCGCGCGAAATTGATTTCATTATCGATAAGAGAGTTACCGATCGAAAGAGCAATACACAACCGGGAAGATTACAGCTATTTCGCGATGGTGGATCGGCGGGTCAGGGGGAAGAACCGAAGATACATAGGAAGCATAGGTATACACGCTGGTATGTAAATGGCGGGGCACTCCGGATCGGATGCAGGCCAATGTCCTGCCTGGTTGCGCCACTGGGATCGCGCGCGATCTTCAAGGCCGACAATTGCTCGGCTTTAGTCCTGAATGGTGTTTCGCAAGAACGACCCATATAACGAACTTGACGCGACGCGTGGCGCCCACCCTCCTTTTGATCTCCGGTGAAAGGTGCTCTCGCGAATCTCGAGGACGCTCGACCGTTTTATCGCGAATTCCCTTTCTCCTGAATCGCGCGGTGTAGTAGAGAGAGCAAACCTCGTGCAATCGACCCGCCTTGCACTCTTACCGGCACGATGCGGAACGGAAATTGGCGCGCGGTATCTCGTACTGCGAGATACCGCAAAGATCGCCAGAGAATGCCCCGTGGTCTCGATTCCTATGGCTAGATTCGATCACGTGGCCGGTAAGTACGGTGTGCGAGTAATTACAGCTGTACTTACATTCCGCCGGGAACCGAGCAAACTGGTTTCCACGACGGCCTGCGCCCGCTCGCACTCGATTACCGGAGCACCGCGGAAGTTACGTTTCGCGAAATATCTATGCGATACTAGCGCCACGACACCCGAATTACTCGCGCAACTGGCCAAAGACGCGTAGAAACGGGGCGGTCAAACGGACGGACAGGGGAGAAAGAGAGAGATTTCTATCGGCACTTGGTATAACTATGCGCTTAAAACTTTACGGGCAAACTTTTCCCAAGCTCGTTTTATTTCCTTACGCCTCTTCTCTCCATGGGATAGGAGCGCGTGTATATATTACCCGATGATCGTGGTACGAGCACGACCACGGTGCACGACCTTTTTTCTTCCCCTTTTCCACCCTGTCGTCGTCCTATGAACACGTTCCGAGTTTTCACGGAGGAAACGAGCAAACCCGTCCGTCTGAATCGCGATCGGGCAGAAACGACGTCTACGTTTCTATTAGTACGCGATGTTCGTGCGTGCCGCGGATCGCAGCTGGTCCGAGCGGAGAAACGAGAATATCCCGGTCGTTTGTCCATTTGTCGGGGAGAAAAAGATTTTCCAAATAGAAACATTGGTCTCTGTGGTACGTGCAGCCTGCGGCGGTGGTGTAGGCGCATTAATAATGTAAGTGTGCAGATGGTGTGCAGTGAGTGCGCGGTGGCGCTGACTAGGATCAATGTTCCGTTCGCGATCTATATAGTATATAGTACAGTGTATGTAACGACACAACGCCGGGCTATACGAGAAACAACACCGTTACACGGGTCATTTCCACGGAATATATTTGCAAATATTCTGATCAAACGTGGATTGGAATATGTATTTGAAAACAAGCATACGCGGCGTAAGCTCACGATCAATTCGGCTCGTATCTCGTCAGGTTTGCCCCGACGATGTATGCGTGAAACGTAGCAACGGATCGGGGGAAAAGACGGGAACGACGCGCGTGGAAAAAGGTTAACGAAACTAAAAAAGTATATTGAAAAAAAAAAAAAAAATGGAAAAAAAAGAAAAAATGGGAAAATGTAAGAAAAAAGAGATAAAATCGGTATCTCTCCAAGTGAAATATTTACTGGACGACGCCTGTTTCGTTACCGTGGACGCAGATTTTGCACGAAGAGAACTCGATCGAGGCTAAGGAGCGAATCTTACGCGACGCCGAAAAATGGCGCGCGGATCGGGAATCGGTTGCGGATCGGGTATATGCTCGCAAGCGTGTAATAACGTATTTTATAAATTTATTCACATGATTTAAATAAATCAAGTATACAGTTAAGTTTACGACACATGCGCAACCCGTGTCGTGTTTCGCAGTATCGCAAGCGCATGCCTTCCTCTCTTTTTCCTTTTCTTTTTTAGTTTCTCACTCATAATTACCGGTTTTTCGTTTCCCTTTCCCCATTATTCCCCTCTTTGTCTCTCGTTCGTACGTACCTCGTACCTCCTTGTCGTTCGTTCCTCCATGTCGTTATCATTTACGCGACGAGAATAATATTTTACACGTGGCGACGTTCGATATACATATTTACATATCGTACAGTATCATCAGATCGGACATATAAAATTACAAAAAGTCATCGTCTACCTATAGTCGAGAATTCAAAATCGAAGCTAAAACTCTCTCTCTCTTTCTACGGCGGCGAAGAACATAACACGTCCGAACGCGACGTATCGTCCGTTCTCTCGTGTATTATGTATAGTAATATATATATATACAATGTACATACGTACACATACGCTGTATACAAGCGTAACACAGCTTTGCAGCCCCTATTTACATATCGCGTTCCCTTCCTTCCGTTTATAATAGATATGTACACGCGTGCGGGATCTAAATCGCCATTAGAAACGATTTCCCGGCGCAAAGGAGATGGCATGTTTATACTTTATTGCTCGCTGAAAAGTCGTCGAGCGAAGTGGGAGAGGGAGTAGAGGAGTCCCTGTCGAACTAGATTCTCGCGAGACGCCATTCAGAAATTCGCATCGTGCAGTTTGCGCGCGCGCAATCTGCTGGCGAACAGAAGAGAGGAGCCTCTGATATCGAGGAAGCTAGACGAGGGCCGGAGACAAGAGTAAAGAGATAGAAAAAGAGAGAGAGAGAGAGAGAGAGAGAGAGAAAGACAGAGAGAGAGACAGAGATAGAATGGGAGAGAGCGAAGGGAAGAAGAGGAAGGAATGGCGGCAGAAAAAAAGAAAAAAAAAAGGGGGAAAGCCAGGAGTGGAAAAGTGAACAATCACGCTTTTACCGATGAGACAAAGCAAGAGCGAACGCGTTTCGCGAGTAAAGAAAGAGGATCGTCGGGGACAAATATTTCGAAAGTAGTCGGTAGAATATACACACTCGGCTAATCGCGTGTTCCTCTATCGCTAACCGCTAACCCGTCTCCCGGTGAGCACAGCCCGTGAGCACAGCCCGTGAGCACAGCCCGTGAGCACAGCCCCGTGAAAAGGGAAAAAGCTGGTCGTCGACGACGACAAACTCTCTAGATCGGTTATAATAATCATTCGATATCCTCCCATTCCCCTGGTAACCAAGGATACTTGATACACGAATTCGAGATCAGAAAATATATGTTCCGTTTATCAACTACCCAAGGTCGTCCCGCACGTTCGACCGAGCTAGCTCGGACACGGCGCGGAAGTGCGGAGAAAGTTCGGCAAGTATAGCAATCCGTCCCCTTTGCGGTAGTGAACACAAAAAGCGAGAGAAGCTTCTTCATCCTTCCGAAAGAACGTATCACAAGCAGAAGAGAATGGGCGCGAAGCTAGACGAGATAGGCCTGGCCGGACGATGGTGGCGGCGGCGGAGGCGGTGGCTGCTGCTGTCTCCAGGCGGTTCTCTCCAGCGTCGAATAATCCGAGTCGATGGACGAATATATGTGCTCGGACAGCGGCCTTCTGTGATCCTCGCTGCTGCCGCTGCTGACCGTCGTGTTCGTGGCGATGAGATTGCTACCCGGCACGGTAACCGCATCTCGGTAGGCGTGATTGACGGTCAGCCTGGGCTGCGGCGACGAAGGCGGCGGCTGTTGCTGCGGAACGGAAACCGTGCCGCAGGAATAAGCCGGTGGCGCGTGTTGCAACATCAACGCGGTCGTTGGCGAGGAGTCTTTGAACAGGGAACGCTGTCGTTCCTGCGCACGAAGCGTCGACATGCTCGTCTTTTCGCTACCGACACCGTCCAGCGTGTAGGTATTGATGTTGCGCTTGTACACCAGTGGCGACGACTTGCTCTCCACCGATATGTCGCCCATGGTGTTGGCCGATGGTATCGCGTACCGGAGACGTTCCCAGAACCTCTTCTCGCCCCACGTGAGAATGGCGGCCGCGGTCCTGAGATACGGCCGTAGCTCGGGATCGCGTTCCACTTCGGGGCACGCGTGTCCAGCCTGCACGATGATCAACTGCGCGGCCCTGCCGCGGAGGGCTTCGTGAAGCGCAGCGCGAAACTCGAAACGGGACCATTCGGTTTGGAGGAAATTACGAGTGAGCACGATGAGCACTCGCCGGGACGCGTCCACCGCTTCCAGGACGACCGGTGCCGGGGCAGAAGCGCGTAGCAGGCAAGGTAGGTCGCGGTGGTGCAAACACAGTCTAAGGCCAGCGGTGCCATGTTCGAGTTCCACGGCTAACGAGTGCAGCACGAAGTCCTCGTCCGTTGGACTATAACAGACGTAACAATCGTAAAGACGGTCGCGGTCGACGTCGCAGCACGCGGCCATCGGCGCCGCGGATGGCATGGTCGCGGTCCCAGTCGATTTGCCCGGCTTCGTCCGCAGGAATCGTAACCCGTACTTGGAGTACGCCCAGGCACCGACAGGCTCTCGGAATATGAACGCGAGAACGATGATCACCAGGAGGACCAGCACGGCCGACAAGGTGGCGGCCACCAGAGGCAAATAATCGGAAACCATGATGCTCTCGATCACGCCACCCTGAGAAAAGTAATCGGAACAGACCGTTTCGTTGACGTTCAAACGACGCCTATAGGCCGGCCTCGCGTCACCCCCGTAGTAGCACCAAACGTCGCTCGCGTCCACCACTTTGTGCGCGTTGTCCGACACCCAGGAGGATAGCTCTTGCAAAAACTTGCAACGACAGGACCACGGGTTGCTACCGAGAGACAGCTCGACCAGCCTAGCGTTCAACGTAACCTGCCACACCGGGAACGTCACCAATCGATTCCCGCTCAGCCGCAATATCTCCAGCGAGCGTAGAGGCAGAAAGGTCAGGTTACCGATAAAGCCGATCAGATTGTTCTGCAGATAGAGTTCGCGCAGGTGAGACAGCCGCTCGAACTCGAAGCCCTTCAACTCGCGTATCCGATTGTCCTCGAGGTGTAGGATCTGCAGATTGTTCAGGCCGTTGAACGTGCGATTCTGAATCGACTCGATGCCGCTCGCGTTCACGTACAGCACCCTCATGTTCTTGCGTCCTATGAACACGTGATTCTGCAACTCTTGCAACACGTTACCGTCCAGGTAGACCTCGGTCGCGTCCATAGGTATGCGCCTCGGTATCTCCTCTACCCTCAGGCCCGAGCAGTCCACGGCGTTCGTGTTCCACGTGCGGTCGTTGTAGCATTTGCAACCGGCCGGACATGTCATCTCGCAGTCGCACGCGTCGAAATCGCAGCAGTGACAAAGGGCGAAACAATGGGCCTCGTAACGGCAGAGGAACTGCTCTGATCGCGCTGTCGATGCGGACACGATAGCGACGCCACGTGGGCCGGATGTGCGGCACATCACGTTGTCTAAGTCCATGATGCGCGGGTATTCCCTGGTAGACGTCTGATTGTTGATCGCCGGTAACCAATCCATCGAGCAATTACAGTTGAACGGATTACCGCCGATGTAGAACTCCGGCAGGGGCCTGTCCTCGGGCACCTTGGTCAACAGCAACGACGTCAGTTCCATCGTCTCGATCATATTCGCGTACATGTCCACCCTGGTTAGGTTCACCTTGTCCGTGAACGTATTCGGCCGCACCAGGCCGATGTAATTGTTGTTTATGAACAGCAACTCCACGCTGTCCGGCACGGACAACGGGGACAGCTCCGTGATGCGATTGTGACTGGCGTCCAGGGTCTTCACCTTGGAGTCGCGTATCTTGTAATAGTTTCCCAGGCTCTCGATGAAATTCCCGTGTATATCCAGCCACTTCAAATTGCCGGGTATGAAGGCGTAATCGAACCACTCGATGTGATTCTCGGAAAGGTTCAACAACAATAGGCTGGCGATGCTGGTGAAGACACCGTTAATATCCGATAAGAAATTACCGTCCAGCCGAATCGCCTCGAGACGCATGTTCCGTTCGAAGGCGTACCTCTCGACGTGCTGTACCTTGTTCCTGGCCAGGTTCAGGATCTGCAGATTGGGTAGGTCCCAGAGCATGCCGCGCGACAGATTGCCGATGTCGTTGCCGATCAGACGCAGCCCGGTGAGCTGGTCGAGATTGCGGAACGAGCCGTTGTAAAAATTGCTGATCCGGTTCTCGCCTAGGTCGAGGGTCTTCAGCAGAGCTAGGTCGCGCAGCGCGTCGGGCACGGACGTAAGCTCGTTACCGCTCATATCCAGTTCCTTCAAATCGGAGCAGTTGCGAAACGCGAGTGGGTCGATGCCAGCGATGGTATTGCCGGACAACGTGAGCCGATTCAGCACGAACAGACCGTTGAAAAGCTGCGCTCCCACGGTGTGCAGTTTGTTATTGGACAGCTCGAGGGTGTGCAGATTGTAGAGTGGCAGAAAGGCGTTGCTCTCGATCCGATCGATCGAGTTGTTCCGTAGATCGAGGATTTGCAGGAAGAACAGATCCTTGAACATACGAGCGTCTATGTGCGTCAGCATGTTGTAAGACAGGTCGAGAACGATCAGTCGTATCAGCCCAAGGAACGTTGTCTCGTCCACCCGATCGCTGCCCAACCGATTCCCGGCGAGATTGAGTACCAGCAGCTGCTCCAGTCGGGTGAATATACCCTTCGGCAGGTCGCGGAGGCCGTTGTACGCCAGGTGTATCTCCCGAAGGTCCCTCGTACTGGCGAACAACCCTTCGGGCAACGAGTCCAGAGAATTATAACTGGCGTTAAAGGTACGCAGCACGGTCAACCCGGAGAGTGCGTCACCGGCAATTTCCACAATCGCGTTCCGTTGCAGGTGCAACTCTTGGAGCTGCCGTAGTCCCAGCAATGGACTGTTCTCCTGCAGACGCGTGATCTCGTTGCGCGACAGGTCCAAGATTCGAATGTCCGCGCGACACGACGTTGACGAAGACGAAGACGACGATGACGATGACGATGACGACGACTCGTCGCCTCCGTCGGACCCGTCACTCTCGCTGTCTCTGTCAGTATCGCGTCTGTTCAATCCGATGTCATTCACGTCGTGGAACCGATTCTCCGTCAGGTTCAACGTTTGCAGGTTGTCCAATCCGCAGAGCAGGTTGACCGGTAACGCTTGCACGTTACTCTCGACGATTTCCAGGGTGTGCAGTTCTCGTAGACCGAGGAAGGAATCCGGAGCGAGCTCGAGAAAACGACTGGCACCCCATACGGCGTTAAACGTCTGCACAGTCAGTTTCTTGAGCTCGAGCAGCGGCTGGAATGCACCCTCCGGTATTCGCAACACCTTGCATCCATGCACGTGGAGCTCGTGCAGACTCGTCAAACGCTGCCAGGTTTGCGCGTTGAAACTACTCTCGAAGTGATGGACGTCGCTGCAACGTATTCGTAATTTCAGAGCGCCGTCGAGCGACGCGACCAGGCTGGTAATCGCGCCCGGATCCAAGACACGAAGGGTGCAGTCGGCGGAGCGCGTGTCGTTACCACCCTCTGACAACCACTTGCAGGAAGAGCCAGCCGATTCCGAAAGTATGGTGGATGTGAGGCAAAGAAAGGCCGCGTTGATCAGCGTCATAAAAACATACTTCGCTGTCATCTTGCGTGAAGGTGGTTGCGCGCGGCTTTTCGATTAGCTCTAGCCGAGATACCGATGATCACAATCGCCACCACGACCGCGATGACTCTATCACTTTCCAAATCTAGCCAAACTATTTTCACCCTTTCTCACCCCTTTCTCGCGTACACACTCGCACAGCGATGACACACGCACGCACATACACACGCGAGCGAGTGCGAGCGCGCGCGCGCTCATGCACCTCCTATCACGTAAGTACGGACCGGCCCATTTCTCTTGCCCTTTATTTCTGGGCTGGTGGCAACACACCCTGCCCTACGCTCCTTCGCCCTTCCTTCACTCGCGATACTTTCTCTCCACTGGTTTTCCTTTCGTCCTTCGATCACTCGTCGTTCTGTCTGTCGGTTAAATTTTCTTCGCTTCGACCGTCTTTATTACGCGTTTATTACGCGCGCCTCCTACAGTGCTAATGTTTTTATCTAGGTACACTGTCGCAGCAAGTAGTATGAACACGCTTTAACGAAACGACAGAACGAAAACAGTCCGTGCAAACCCGTATACGCGAAGCGACCGTGTACTACCGTACACTCGCCTCGCATCAAGCACTAGCACTGATCCAGCAGACCGCTGAGCGCGCATCATCGGCA